TGATTCTGCGCCAGAGGAATACAAGAAACTTGCCGAGCGGTGTTGTGATGCTGATCCTGATAAGCGTCCTGATGCAATGACACTTTGGATGAATATTGACAAGCTTATTGCCAAAGTGGAAAAGGATAAATCTGGTGACAACGTGTGGAATGCCGTTTATCACAAAGATGTAAGGCCGTTATCACGTTTCGAAAAGGAGAGTAAATACTCTAGTAAACTCTTACCTACTGAAGATCTGCCTAAACCAAGAAATAGTTATGAATTGGATTCGGCTGCAGGTATGAAGATTACAAATTGCAGAATTGGTTATAAATAAAGTCAATTTACAATATTAACATTGTCCATTGCTTATGTTTTAGCGACTCAAACATTCTTTGAATAAACTTGTAATACATAGTTTTATTCAACGGCAACCAAGTTTATTTTTCCGTGTAATATATCCACGCACATGTACCGTCTCGAAGTAATTGGATAGTCTCTACCTGCAGCAATACACGTAGGGTTGTCTTTAACAAATAATTTACATCCGCAATAGTCATAGCCTCGCAAAGTATTATTGGATGTAAATAGAAGAAATTAACAAACGTCGTCACCTGTTACTATTCTATTTACTAGAATCTTCTTGTTATGAAAGACATTTTGATAATTATTTATTTCAGTAAAATGATATTTGGTTAATCGGTTGTTGTCTGTTTAGTTGCCGAGTGTTCGCACTATCCCATTTCATAGTACTGGGTTAAGGTGTTAACCAATTGGCGTGAGCGATGAAAATTACGCACGCGTTATCTAGATATCGTATTTTTGTTAGCTGCAATAAGTAGAAGCCCCGTTTAAGAATGGCCAGGATTTCCAGAATTTTGTCAAGGCGGTTGCAACCATTTTCATTGTGCCGAAGACCAGTTGCCATAAAATAAATGACGCAGACTACTGTCGTTTGTGCATTAGAAGTTGGAATTTAGTACTTGATTAGTATTGGTATCTTTTCCCCTGATCTCTGAGAATATATGATCGCGGACTTACGTGTGGTCTGCTTTATGCACCGAATAGGTGCGAAGGATGCATGACCGTAGTAAACATGCTCACAGAATAGTTACAGTGTTCTGAATGATAATATTGTCGATGTTCGAACAATTTTTGCTGTCACCATTAATCCCTTCTCTTGCCATCGAATATCGCTGCCGTTTTCTAGCCTATAATATCTAGTAGTTGAGGAACTAACAAGTGTGAAATTAAATCATCTCATGTCAAATAAAGGTCCCTGCCCTCGTAAAACGTGAACATGGGGTTGGGAAATGTAATGCGTCGGAAAGATTGATCAACGGATCGCGTTCTGACGATATCTTTAATTTTTGTATTAGTTTGATTATCTAGCGAATACAGTTACTAAATATTAATTGCTAGTTATAAACAATCCTCTTGTCTATCCATTTGTATTGACACATAACTTTATACACTTCCTATATCCATGCCATCCACTCTCGACACAAAACTTGAATCTTCAAATACTAATACTATCGTAGAGCCCTCCTATGTCGTCACCTTTTCTAAGCGGTACCCTTTTAGAAGTTTACAATCATCGTATGTTTGCCTGCAAATAGCCGAGTAGACGTTATAAATTTGAGAAACCCACTTTTTATTAGTTGTCGTCAAGTTGTAAATGACTGGGTTTTGAATATCAACATAGTTCTAGAGTATAAGCGATAGGGATCATACCCCAACGATTATTATTAGTGAAGTGGTAACGATTAGGGTTTTACTTTACGTATTGTATTGCAAAGTTCAAAGGATTATTTCTAGAAATGGTAAATACTATTTATACTAATACTGCGGCTACTATAATAATCAGCGTTAGCACAATATGCGCCTTTCAGCTAACAATGCGCTAAACTTTACAGAATTTAAAAGCTACTCGTCATTACACTATCGATAATAATAACCTTAAATTGGCCGTGCGAACGGAATGTCAGCGTATTTATTTCCGCCGCTAATGCTTGCACACTGTTCTAAAGTAATTGACAAAATCCGTATCTGCGATGGACGTCAGCAATAACAACTTGTTGCTAGTCATTATCACCAACTCGCGCAGTACAATGCATTGTAAACGGTATGACTATGCAGCGAGAATGTTCAACATGACTTGAGAAATGATCAACATTCTTGCTGCGTATTAAGATAGAGATCTACATTAAGATCATCTGATACTCATTACTGTGAAAGGCATGTAAAAAACATTGAATCTTTCACTGTGTATTAGTATGTTGTGAGTTGACGATTCAACAGTAGCATTTAAACACTGTCATTGTTACTGTTATCATATGCATTTGCAGTTCTCACACTTGCGGTACATAATTGGTTGACACAAGCTCCCTCCTTGTTTCTCTATTATTAGAATGATCTTCGATATATCCAATAAATTGATAGCCAAATCCCGCTTATTTTCCCTCTTCCCCCCAAATCTAAATCGTCAGCAATCATTTTCTTAAACAGCAAGTCTCAAACTCTATATAGACGCTGTTGTGTGTATACTTTATTTATTTTACTTTTTTAAAAAAAAACCATGAATATCTCTCTACCTTTCGAACTTCTTACTATGATTCTAGAAGAATACATAAACGATAAAACAACACTTCATTCATGTATTTTAGTTAACAGAAACTGGTGTTCTGTAGCTATACAATATCTATGGGCCAACCCCTTTACGCTACTATGTAAGAACAGAATGCCGTATAGCATACCCAAAACCCGACAAGCGGAAAAGCTCATGACAATCTTTATCGAATGCTTTACCGATGCGAGTGAAATCTTGGACGAATTGGGATGCCTGGACAAGAGAATCAACAAAAGGATGCCGTTCAATTATGATGATTATTTAAAAGAGCTTGATTACAAAGATATAAAAAAGGTCGTGGAAGACTGGTTGAGCGGCATAAACGTTCCAGAAGCGAAAATAGAAATGACAACAGTTCGAGTTTTTAGTTTGGCTATACAACATTGCCGCAGATTGCAGACACTCAATTTCAATACAGAAAAATCACCAGCATGCAGCCAGCTGAACAGCTGTCTTTCTTCAGTTCAGAGCTTGCCATACTTGAGAAACTTTACATGGCGCTCTCGAAGATCATATCGACAAGTTTTCGATTCACTTTCAAAAGTAGCACAGAACATGGAATCAGTCACACTCCATGGTAATTATGGCAGTCTCTACAGAAAACATCTATGGCACAGTCTGATAAGACTCATCGAATCTTTGCAACAACTAAAATCTTTCAAAATTCTACACACAAGCTGGAGTATGGACCTAGTTTTAAAATTATTAAAAGGCCATTTGGACACTCTCGAATCAATCAGTCTCAAGGCCTCCAAGTCAAGAAACAGAAATTCATTTGTTGAGACTGTTGAAATCCAACTAAAAAACACTGCTATAAAAAAATGCTACTACAATTCAAGGCTTTTCAACAACAATGAATTGAAACAAATTGGTTATATTAGATGGCCAAATTTGCAAGAACTTGTATTTAGTGAGTTGGATTTCTTACCTGACGTCTTGATAACTCTCATTCACAATCATGGCAAATCCCTCACTTCAATGGAAATTGGTAAAGTCGCCATCAACAGCAAGGTGTGCAAGAGCATCTCGCAAAATTGCACCAGCCTTACTCACTTGTCCATTGTGATATCACAACAACTGGTCATGCGAGTTGCTCATATGATTGCGAGACTACCAAGCTTGCATTCTATCGTCCTGTCTTGGGAAAGTTATGGATTTAGAGACATTGATGTCCTTTTCAATAACCTTGCAAATTACGAGTTACCTCATTTGTATAAATTACAGATGGTGTCTGGAGATAGGTTTCAGGTGGATTCTCTACAAAACTTTTTATCGAAATCAAGACCACCTCTCCAAACATTATCTATCAACAGTAGAGGCAGTGTCACCGATGAGCATTTAAATGTTATTTTGGATTATCTTGGTGATACGCTCAAAAAACTGAAACTTAATTACGATGTTAATGTGGTTTCAAAGGCGTGTATGGAAAGAGTATTAAGTGTAGTAGAGGTTTTTGATAAAAAGTTTTATGATTAAGTTATAAACATGAATTCTTTAAAGTAAAATGAACGTAAATATTACGGGGTGTTAACCTACATTGACGGAATGAATGAACTTCAAATCTAAGCTTTCTACAACTTTTGTGAATTTGCTAATCGGTCAAAATAAATACATCTATGAATCATCGAAACCGCACCGTAAACGACAGGTTTGCTAACCATTTCGGCATTTAACGCACGCTTTCGAGACGTTGCACGCGAATAATTTATTTTACCACATTTTTTGAGACAAGACTTAAAAATGCAAAATCCAATCTTTATTGTTATCAAAAATGGAATATATGCGATATTTATATGACGTATGAAAGAATGTTGAAATGAAAGAAAAAAATGTAATGCCTTATAATGCAAATGTGTGAATAAGCAATATACATTAATAATAATGCTGCGGCTAATACATGATTATATACGAGAATGACGGTGTCTACCACCGATTGAAGTTACACGTAATACATGGGATACTTTTTCGCAAGCTCAATCTTGGTCATGCTCAACTGACCGTTATAAAAATGAGATCGTGCCCTTTTCGCTGCACAATGTGCATAATAAGTCGGTGCGGGAATAGAAACCGCTCTGGTGGCCCGTTGAAAGTTGTAACACAATTTGTTCGTAAAGTCCTGAAGTTCGTCTACTTCAAAGCCGTTCTCATCGTGCAGAACGTGATATAGACTTGGACGCGATGTCCCTTGAAGACTAGAATGAGAGGTGAGGTAGAAATTAAAAAGATAGGGATGCGTAATGACTCGCTCGACAACCAGACCGGGCTTCACGTTTCCCTTATTGTCGGCATCTTGTCTGTCGATCGGATAGAATCGATTGTGATGTCGCTTGCAGACGACAATATACGAGATTTTTGGATTGTAGTTGGGGTTCAGCCTGTGACAGGCCCTTCTGATACTAGGGAGTTCCTTATCCAATGCCAGTGGTTTAAATTGACTTTCGCTAATACCGTCTCTGTACATGATGATGCTCTCGGGTGGTTTCTCGTTTATCCGTATGAATTCAAGCAAAAGCTTATGCGTCAACTCCTCCATGCCGTCGATTTCTTCTTTTCCTCGACCTGTTTTTTTACTGTTTGCTTTTGCTTCTTTGAATTGCGCCATATGCCTCTCGGCATATCGGGCTGCGTATCTATCGATAGATGCAACCACGGCCGCGATCGAAGGAAAATCAGTTGACTCTGGCGGAGGGTGAGTGACGTCAGCGCCCATAACCATGATTCGTTGTCTATTGATGCGCGGAAGATTGACGGCGGAATTGACTCCGTTGAGTTTCAAGTTTAGTTTTGCAGTGACATTCGCGAGATATTGTGGTTTGCAGGGTGCGACATGATGGGACTGTATACATTGAGACAAAATACCAACATGGGTATCCATTACTTCCTTGACGAGATTGTATTGTTTGGTATTCATTGGGGACTTATCACTGTCGATAAAGAATACGACCAATTGCAGATTTCCTCCTGTCCTCCGTCTGGCCTCTTCTACTGTTCTAACGATCTCGTTGCGAGCCTGTTCGATTCTTGACCGAATCTGTTTGGGTTGCATGGAGTCGCTTGCCACGTCCATGCCTTGAGTACGAGCTTGTCGAGCTAGACTTTTCATAAACCTGTTCATGTTATCTGGAGAAACCGATTGTGTCAATGAAATAGCCATCCAGGTTTTTAAAGTTTCGCCTGATTTCAAGTAATGCACGTCACGGAGATTCCAAGCTGCGTCCCAGTCTTTTGGTTTAATTTGCGGACCTTGCTTAGATGAGTTGGAGTACAAAACTTCTGGGGTGCTGATGAAGCGACCGGGCACATTAGCCATTCGTGCATTGATTTTTATCCCGGCTTTTTGGAGTATATCGTCTTTACTAAATGCCAACACATCATGGACACCGTTTAGTATAAGCCTTTTGTTTTCTGCAGGAACTTTAGCAGTAATCTTGATCATTTCGCCACGTTGCTTGCCGCTTAGTGGTCTGCCTCTATAGTGTTGGCCCTATAATTAGAAAAAATATTCAGTAAGAACAAAAAAATTATTATCACTCCTGAAAGTTATTCGACGCTTTAATCTCCGCTACCGACTCCACGAAATTAAGAGCTAAAATTTACCTCAATTACGGTAAGAACTTCAATGGGATGTTTGCTACCTCTTGTATCCTCTACGAGAAAAGGCGTGTTAAGGTGCTTTCTGTATTTACGAGCGAAAAGGTCCTTCACGCTCTCGTCCCTCCCAAGTTCTTTATTCGGAAACATGGTCTTGTCCGCAGGTAAATCGTGGAACCTCTTGATGGTATGTACTGATTCTGGGCGATGCGACGGTGTAACTCGGATGTGTCGAAAAGCCTTGTTTAATAGTGACGTTATTTCGGGTCTGAACAAGTCTGGTAAATTCTGCGTGTTGAGATACTTGCAAATCAACGTGCATAGATCGTTCGGCTCGAAAGTGACGGTATAAGTCGTATTCACATTTAAAAATAGTTTCCCTAATAATGACACAGAGAGAAAACAAAAAAGTCAATTAAACAAGTTTTTTTTTTTGCACGATACTTGTTTGTCATTCACCAATTTACCTCTTCCATCTCCTTCTCCTGGACGAACACTAAGGAAATATCCTTGTAATAGCTCTGCACCTTCGCCGAGCGATCTTCTTGATTCAGGCATGAAGAAAGAATCACCATATTGGACAAATTTAAGAGCCGGATTGTACTGTACGAACGCGTTTAAAGCATTCAACATCTGATTGTCAAAGAAATCCCACTCAAAAGTCTCTCCCGTCAAGACCTCCTTTAGATCGTTCATTGATATCGTCGGTTTGCCATGGTTTTCTCTGATTTCCACGTAATACTCGCAATCGTTTTCGACCTCGACGAGTTGGCTTATTTGATTATTGCTGAGGGTAAGTTTACTGGTTGTGAAAAGGTTTGAGCCTCCGTCATATGCCACGCCCACGTCTTTGAAATATTCCACTTTGTTTAGTTTATGAAAGGCGGCAAAGACCTGTCTTCGAATACGTCTTCGACCGGCAGAGTCACCAGTAAACTCTGTGGGTCCCTTACGGGTATCGCGTTTAAATTCTATTACATACTGGCAAAACGTCAAGTTCCGTGTTTCTATTTCGAACATGTTTGTTAATACAGTGGCTTGACGGTCTCTGGAGCCCATTCTCCCTTGGTCACCATAGCCGGGGCGTCTGTAAGGTACGAGTTCTGAAGTCATAGCGAGAGAAAGCTGTTGTTCGTAAGGGGGTATGTGTGTCTTGAGAATGGTTTTTGAAATTGGGTATCGTGTATGGAATGCTTGGAAGATACAATTTGATTGTTTGAACAGCTTTGGAGAGTGAGGGGGGGGGTATTTATATGCCCTTGTAACGCCCTTGCCAATTCACGCCGTGTTATCAGGTCAGGAACAATTACTGCGTACTGCGGTGTGACTGCGGGGTAGTAACATTGTTATTGTAATTTATCAAGATAATTGCTGTATATAGTCAAAGAATTGTGGGACGACAATCGATCTTCATACGACACAGGCGGGAAAAGGCACACTGTGATGTTTAAATTAGGCAAAGTCTATGTCGATCAAGCTTATCAACGGAGAATGAAATTACAAACAAAGTTGGACAAACAATATCCGTTGTTGGTCAATATTGTTAATGGGGAACTATGCAAGTTATCTACACATAGAACTGATGTTCTCATTGACGTTCCTTAAACGCTCAACAGTGTCGTCAGTTGCTCTTTTTTTTTTTTTTTTCATGCAGGGATGTCGATTACAAAGCACACGATGTATCGATCGTCAAACATCACCTCATACTCTAAAAATATGTTTGATATCTCATCATCACAAACAATTTCTCCAAAAAAGAACTGTTACGTCTTTGTCGTCATGTTTTTCCTACTATCCGAAAGACAATATATAATAAAGACTCGATTATTAATGATATTTGTGGAACAACTTTTGTCACACATATCTAATCTAGTATGTGGCGGGTGGCTATTGGCATGTCATTATAAATCTAAACATGGACTCAATGTAATCATCTCCAAGAAAGAAAATGCGTTTGTTTCATGAGATGTTGGACGTGTGCTGAGGATAATGTCATGATACACTCAATCTCTTATACGCATGTAAAACACTTGTCGATCATTGTCTTGGCTTAACGGTAATTATGAAAAGATCATGTGACATCCATCAAATCATCGATATTGCACAGTTAATCAAATATAGTAAATTATATAATAATAATAACAATAACAATATCCCATGCTAAACTAAATAACTGACTTTCCATATTGATATAGACTATTAAGATATCATTTAGAATATCATTCTCTGCCGATTTTGGCATGAGAAGTGTTTCTATTTCTATAGTCCAGTTCAACGGCGCCCACCAGACGTGAGAAGTATAGCTTATTAAAATGAACATTAATCTCTGAAAATGTAGTAATTATAATATAAATTATTCCCCAAAAAGATGCTCAGGCAGAGAGGTCTAATATCATTTATACTCTTAATGACTGTCTGATTTACTATGTTTCCCTATGGATAACAACCAGATTAGATATTAATTTTATTACCATTGTTATTTTTGCATATTCATACAAATTCATCACCGTACAACAGTCTTTGGCCTGCTGACAAAGCTATTTGCTTTGCAACACTGTACATTTTAATGTTAGTGCTCGGAAAAACATGAAACTTTTATAGACTAGTAAATATGAAGACTCCTGATTCCATTTCCTGCATGTAATTCAGGTGTAGCAAAACGGTAGTTTTAAAAATGTCCACATCTCCTAGCATAATGTCTATTATCTTAACCCTACAAATGACACAATCGTGATATTTTTATCGTGTAAATAACACCTCTTATCTCATAATATTAGAGGGTACGGGTAAGCCGATAACCGGATCTGTTGGTATTTGAGTGGGTAATTTAACCGTTGCATAAAAAAAACACAAACTGCCTTTGGCTATGGTTTCTTTATAGATAGCGATGACTTTTTTATTGGTGCGATGTGGTTTGAATAGAACGATTGTCTTAACATGGCGCAATAAAGCATTGCTTTGATCAGCTGAATACGCTAACGTTGGTTCTCTGATTGGTGCAACGATGCGAATGTGGGATTTGTATTAAAATGGTGTGAGTAAACATAGCGCCAAACATATCCATTGTGAAAAAATGCTTCAAGTTAGCATGAATTTCCCCCATGGGCGTATCGATTGAAGAAATATGCCTTGAGTTACTAAATACGTTAGTCGTAATTCTTAATTAAGACTTGACAAAACTGGTTTAATCAAGTGCGTAAATCAACCGTTTATTTCCGGTGCGACGTGCAATTATCAGCCCCAACGGATTAAACAATGGATCGTGTGAAATTTACAACTACTGCTTTTTGTCCGTTGAGGATATGATAATGAAAATAATGTACTGTCCAACCATCGTCACATCATTATGTATTGTCCATCAAAGTTTATCAATCTCCCAAAAACGTTCTTTTTCATTTTTGTGCGGGTGCCAGTATTTTTTTGGCTCATTGGCGTTTAAAAGTATTGATAATCAATTATATTACCGTTTGACAGCTTGACGACTGCTCTGCATGTTGAACAATCCATATTATGACCGAATCTACGGCGATAATCTTCATTGGCCTAATCATTGTATTATAAATTTTCTTCGACAACTTTGGTCTAGATTATGAAAAATGGCGGCTCTGGACACTTGTGCGAATGCAGTAATGTATAATGGGCAGATTTCCAAATCAAATAACAAGGCCCGGCCGTAGTTTTAGCCCAAACCCGCAAATTCAACGTTAAAGAAGAAAAGATCGTAAAAACAATATGTTTCATGCAAAGTGTAAAATGTTGCAATCTATCAGCGACAGATGGTATTAAAAAAACTATACGTGAGGCTGCTAAGATATTAGTAGAAATAATATAAATGTGAACGTAAAATGTTATAAACCAGATTGTTGATACGCCAATCGTGGCGCTTGGCTACGTGACAACATTTTGGTTAAACGCCGCATAGTTGCGAAATAACCTTCATAGAAAGCCGGGTAATCTGCTAAAAAAATACATAAACAGTTTGGGAGAATTTGGGGTTAGTATGGTTGGTTGTTATCACGTGGCTTTAGTTTTATCCGATCGTGGCTGATAATTAAAAACGAACAGTTTTGTTAAACAAAATTTGCATGGCTGTTTCGCAATACAATTGAGTACTGGCATAATGGTACAGACCAATACACTCGATGCAAAGAAACAACAAGCTAAGACCGGTGTCAGTCAATTTTTCTAGTTTTAAAGGTAATATGTAAAAAAAAAAGTTTGCGTGCAGAAGAATACAAATTATCAGGAAATGCATAAAGAGACTGTTGACAGGATAATTGTTCCAATTACATCTCTCTCATGATATAATAAATAAATTTTCTTCAACGCAATGCTTTGACAATTTTAGACTGAAAAAATTCTCAAATTTATCTTATTATAACTTGGAATACAAGATGGAAAAATACAGACAAAATCTCCGGTATAAAATTTTTCTGACGCGTAGTGTAGACCTTTAAGATATTGTTATTGAAAAAAATTTGCCACTTGCTTTACTCAATTTTGATTACCTGAATGAGACGGCGAGGAAACATGCATATGTTATGAGTTTCTACTTTGTATAGTCAATTCCATCACTTGTCCGATATTTCGTTATTCAAGAAACCTTTCTGGTACCTCAATAGTCAAAAAAGCATTTGAGCAGTTGCATGTAACGAGTCTTGGAAGGAGAGTCGAATTCCACTGGAGCCTACATCTGCAAAAGTTATATCATCGAAGGTAAACTGAACCGTTTATTGCCTTCAAATGACTCAATGACTTTAACTCATTAATTAGGTTGTACAACTATGTAGGTTTTATAAAATGCACGTGTTGCTCTCGATGTCTTCACGCCACGTGAAAGGACAAAGTGGCAGCCGGTGCAAAAAATTTATACCTTTGTCTGATGCTTGAAAGGCATATGAACACCAGCAAACATTTTTTGAAACATGCGGTAAGTTTTAGTATGGATTGTTCGAGGTTAGCTTTTAGGAAATCGGAAAGCAGTTGAAAAAGTTACGCGATCAATGAACAATTTTTCCACTTCGTATGTGAAAGTATAACGATCAACTTCTAAAATGTCCATTCCTTGATGACATCTATAAGACTATTATCGGTATCGGACAAATTGTAGACCCTCATTTATCAAAATTTCTACACTATTGAGTCGATGAATCCCACTACGATAAAATTATATATTCTTCGGCTCATGATAAGAAGATATCGAACTCGTGAGTATATATTTAGACTGATCGCTATTTTTTACTTGTCAAATAATTAAGTCTACTTTTTTATAGATCCTGACAACACGCTCGTATATGAAGAAAGTGATTACGTGACGCTGCTTCCATATCCCAGAACTATTACGACGAGTAAGCTTGTAACATATAATTAAACCTTAATATTAATTTCGTCATTGTTATATTTTTAACATTCAATAAACGCTGTATATACTGTGATGTTACACTTTGTATTGCTTCTTCTAGAAAGAAAGAAAAATTAGAAATGGTACTAAACTTGCTTTCTCTGATTTAGTAAAAAAATGTTGCCCAGTTTCCATGTTTACATTCAGTCAGTGAGCAGTACAATACTTAAACAATCGACGAGTTTAGTTGTGAGTTCAATGCGAGTTACTGCCAGGGCAGAACAATCTGATTTATGTACAAATAGGGAATGTTTAATCGACTGTCGACCGAGCGTAATGCAACTATTGACAATAATCGTAACCAAATTAATATAATAAACTTTAATGCAATTGTCTTAATACTATGATAAAAATTTGTGTTATTTGTTTAAATGGTTGTAGTCGTTGATGATGCGTTTGTCCGTGATAAACTCATCTCTATGATGTAATGTCGAGACTTTCTCATGTTGAACAATAGCTGGTGAGAGGGTGGTATCCTTGATTAGCGGAAAATATGTTGTTATCTATTGTTAATATTGACGCTTCTCGCGTCTTATTATGAAAGAAGGAAAGAAAAAAAACAAAATTTGACGTTTGTCCTCGGATTATTACAGCTAAAATCGAAAAAATGTCCAAGATATTACAATAGTATTCTTTCATACATAATCAATTTATCCGTAAATTGTACAATTGATGTGTGTATTCAGATACCGTTGGATATTAGAATTAGCAACCATCAATGACTATGGACATTCGGGGGTGTTTATTGGTTGCGATAGTATTGTCTTATTAACAATATTATTAAGTTATGTGTTACACAGGACAATACATGTTTACGCTTTACTATTGGATGCATTAACTCCTACTATCGCTATATATCCCAAAATGTTTCACTTATGTGTGCGATAATTCATATTTATAGAAACAATTATGACAATCGCAATCTTATGACATAAGACTTTACGCTACATTATCAGTGTCGTCATTGTTATTGTAAAGGTTACTTTGGTCATACGTACGTGTGTGTCTTATCTTAATGAATTACATAACAATTAGACTTGTTAACCAGTGAACAGGCTTTTACTGCGCGTACTTTAGAATGTATATTGATACGATTGTTTCTGTGTGCAAATCGGTTTTAAGCGTTACTATTGGCTGCATTGAAGGTGCTATGACGCAATATCATCTGTCTTTTACATATATACATAGCCCACGTTCTCTCCATCCATCACTTCACACAAACCCTCCTTTCTCCAAAGCGTAAACATACCACAACAAAATCCTCTGTCACAACAAATCACATTGTCAACATACGACACAGAACGGCTCATTCCACTATTATAAAACCAATCTTCGTCGGGATCTTCGTAAACGAGCCGCACGGACCGTCATGGTGCTGGTCGCGCGAGAAGGAGAGGAAGAAGAGGTGGAACCCTTACACCGAAGACGCAAGGGAGTTGGCATCAGCTTCCCACTACATTAAGAAAAACGACGTAGATTATTTAAAACGCTGGGATAATTATAAACCTGGCAACGATTTTATTTTATCATCGTCTTTGGAGTTCAACTGGGTCACTTTGTTAACGCCACCACGCCGCACAGTCACAGCGCCACGAGCCACGAGCCACATCAAAATTAGGGCCGCAATGGACTTTATGTCAAGGTCATTGCTGTAAAGATGAACAAAGATAATGGTTTTTTAGAGGTGGAAAAAAAAGTAGGAGATGAATTGGAATATTACGAAATCGAGTATCAGCAAGACATGGTTGGATTGTAATTTTTATTATTTTCATAACCTCATTTATTTCCTACTCGTTACTTAATAGATTTAAACGAAAATTGTACTTTATATTTTATTTAATTCAAATGGTCACACTGTCAATATTAGGAGTGACCGATCGATTACTTAAAAACAAAAATTATACTTATATACGCGGTGTTTCGCTGTATGCCATACCAAAACGAAACACAAGTCAAGTCAGTACCCCACGTATATACATGTGCCCTAAAATTTGTTGAAAAACGACTCATTCTCGCGTAATTTTTGGATTTTTCTATATCGTTTTTACCCTTTTCTGGCATCGTAGGTCCAGTAGTCATTGGTGTCGTGTTAGCAATAGTGGGAGGGCTAACCTGGACCGTACCGGTCTCGATTCCTTTCATAAAAATCGGACTTTTATTTTCTGAACTATGTTGCATTATTTTGACATTAAATTTACTATTAGTAATAGTCAGAAGTATATTAATATAGACATTTTAAACACTCATTTATTACCATTTATGGAGGGACTCGATGGGGAAATTGATGAGTAACCTGTCTCGATTCCTTTTATAGGAGTCGGACTTTTATTTTCCGAAACTATGTTACAGTATTTTGATATGAAGGAATAATAAAATTTACTATTAGTATTAGTCAGAAGTATATAGACATTTTAAACACTCATTTAGTACCATTTATGGAGGGACTCGATGGGAAAATTGTTGAGTATGAATTTCACCAAGATAATGCTACTGTCATACAAGCAAACTGACAAGGACATTCTTTGGTGATTCAGACATAATAAACTTGATGAATACATTAACTCTTCGAAATGTTCGCTTATATGTGCGATGATTCATATTACGCTACATTATTAGTGTCGTCATTGTTATTGTAAAATTTACTTGGGTCATACGTACGTATCTTTAGTAAATTACATGACAACTACAAATTCTATGACTTTTTTACTGCGCGTGCTTCAGAATGCATATTGATGTCGATTTAAGCGTTACTATTGGCTGCATAGATAACAACATTTATTGTGGCGGATTAAAACGAAATCGGATTAAAACAAAATTTTGGGGTCTTTTGGGTTTCCTTTTAATGCCTTGAAACCCACATATACTCTTTTACTAACAAATGGTATCCTAAATTCTAACCCAAATTCCCAAAAAAGGCTAAAAATTATCCCCAAAAAATTTTATAATTTCATACTAAAATAGAAAAAATTTCGGTTTAATCCGATTTCGTTTTAATCTGTCACATTTATTATAAAGGCGCTATGACGCAATCGTTAAACATATCATCTAGGACGCGTCACGCGTCTTTTACATATATATATATAGCCTCCATCCATTACTTCACACAAACTCTCTCTTTCTCCAAAGCGTAAACATACAACAACAAAATTTCCTCTGTCACAACAAACCACATTGCAATATACGACACAGAACGGCTCATCCCACTACTATAAACCCAATCTTGCATTTTACCGCTTACGCAATGCCAAAGCGCAAAAAAAAAACATCAGGAAAAAGAACGTGAATGTAAGAAGGCTCCAACGGCAGAAGAATGCAGCAAATGGAGCCGCGTTCGAAAAGAGCGTTCGAGAAGCGCTCACAAATCGAGAAACCAAAGAAGGACGTAGGTATCTCATTGAGTATTTTTAGGATAGTTATTATATGCTGTTACTAGGTGCAAATCGGAGTTTCGTAAACACAAAGAGGTGCAAATATATCAACTCCGTACTCGAGACACTCCTCCGGCTCTGTGACGAATAAGATATTCTGATATCAAAGTGTTTGTTTCTAATCTTGAATATTATTTATTTTTGATGGTATTAGGGTGCACGGCGGTAATAGTGGGGCCGATGTGATGGTCACCATCCAAGTAGTGGGATTTCTCGTACAGTGCAGTATCAAACCGCCAAGCTCGGTTAGTATAGTATTTAGTTCCAGTTTGTTTCTCTGTCTGTTTGCGTGTTTTGTTTGAGTCATAAATATTAATGTTATTATTGTTTCGTATTATTATAGGCGCAGAAAATGAGTCCGGTATTCTTGGGTTCCAAGTTGCTGGACGAAAGTTTAATTTATACGTCCTTATCCGAGATCATAAAGATATAAGCTGTCTATTTCTTCTACGATCTGTAGATATCCCGACGCAATATACAGATACCATAAAGATAAAGCTGGAGTGGGAGCAAGCAGAGCGGCTGAAGGAGAATGAGGAGAGGAAGATGGATAGAGAAGCCGTAATGACGCTTGCTGCCCAGGTGGAGAGGGGAGGAGATGAAGAGGCGGATAGCTAGCTTGAAAGAGAAGGAAAACAAAAAGTTGAGGGAGTGGTTGGGAGAGAATGAGTTTGTCTTGTTTTTTGTAATAAGGTTTGTTAATACTATAGTTTTATAATCAACTTGAATGTTATTAGTGAATTTATTGCATAAAGGAAAACATGTAAAAAAGAAAGTTATTATGATAGAAACAATGTAATCATTGATATTATATATTAATTGCGCAAATAACAGAACGAGAGTTTTTAAATTAATATTATAAAAGCTTATTGTTTAATTAAGTTTAAAACTAAGCAAGTGATGTTTACCCGACTAGTCAATAAACCAAATCAAAGTTTGCCCTGTTTAAAATTAGAATAATTGATTCTGTTGTCTAATAATTGTTGTTATTATTACCATAGGTACCTTTATTTGGATACGAGTACGGGAGGTACATCGTATAAGGAGTAAGGAAGCGCGCACGATAATTAAAATTAGGTCACTGGAATTTTAGATTCAGTCGCAGAAGCAATCGCTGAAATAAGGACGATAAACTGAAGCTAAATTAGAATATCCCTCTGTCGGCGAACACATCTACGCGAAAGATTATCGCTCTTCCACAACCCAGACTGCCGACCGTAACAGCGTTGGTGCATCCAAGTGCAAAGACATCGACCGTTTACGTCGCCTTCCAGAATTCTTATCTGCATTCTAGTCATGAAGCGGTATCGCGTCTGTCAAGTAAGGCCTTGAATAATTTCCAATATCTGAGAGTTTTGGTTAGAAAAATAATGCAGGAAGCACGCATCATTCGGATGCACTGAATTAACAAAGCTTGAGCTCAAAATATCTACGCTTTTTATTCATTGATAGTTTCGTGAACTTTAGATTACTGGTCTCAACATTTATTTTGTAATATTACCTCTACAATATCAACTCGGAAAAGGCAAACCTGCCGCTGAATCCGGTAGGTGAGAGTTTACTGGAATATTTACTCTCTTTCTCGAGACGGGATAAGGGTGTACTAAACTAACGCGTTTAATATTTACCTGTAACATCATTTCTCTTGTATAACTTTTTCGTTGTTAACAGTCCCACTTCCTACTATCAAATCTAACATTATAAATTGACGGGAGCCTTATCTCATAGAAAAGGAAACAGAAGATTAAGATACGCGTAGATTGGATTATGCCAACTGGGAAAACTTGTAGCAATGTGGTCAGGGAACGAATTTGTGATTGAAGAACAAGTCAGCACTTGGTCAGGTCAGCGTGATAACTGTGCGATTACAAATATTATTATATTCATATAACAAGAAAGAAATAGTCTGTCTTGGTAATAACTTGAGTTGCAGGGAGATATTCATAATGATGGGTTTTCCAAGTCTCCGTGAGTCGCAATGCGGTAAACAGGGTTCTGACGTTGGGGTTGTGTCAAGGACCCTCTCAAAGAAACGAAAGATATTCCACAATGATGATGTGAAGTTGGTCGATGAGAAAGCTGAATTGGTATTTAGATGAAGCAGTTATCGAAATTACAATGTAGTGCCTTTAGATGAATTGTATTCCATGGACCAGTTTATGGACGATTATTTCTCTACTCAACACACGATACTATAGATTAACAACACAAGGTTTTGAGGATGCTTGTTGGAAAGATTGGGCTTTTTAAAATACTATTATTTTAGTAGATATCTTTATCAAGTTTACAGTAAAGGAGGAAATGGCTCGATGTTTTGTTAGAAAATGTAAGGATAATGAAACATGCTACATATAAAGACCGCCAAAGACGTACAATATGAACGGAATTGATCCGGGTTAGGGGGGGGGAAAGTTAATGTTTGCAGTACGTAAACAACACGTAAACGAACAGATTAGTGTCGCAAAAGAGAGGTCCTTAAGTTGGTTCGAATTGTATAAGAATGTGAATGCTGAGATGAGGTAATTTGTATCAAGAGAATCTATATATGAATGAATAGAAGAATATCAGAACGTAAAAATTGTTCGCTAGCCTTGGGGAGAGATAAAGCGGTTTGATTAGTAAATTAGGAGGCAGACATGCGTTGATGAATTAAAAGTGTATTGAATTCGAAAAAAAAGTTACTCATATTAATATTAAAAGGTTATAAGTAAAAGTTCCGCAATTGCAAGTTAATCTCAGGTTAATAACAATTTCTTGTCTATGATACAAAAAGCTCGCTCCTTATTAATATATCGTTAAAAAAAAATACTTTGTGACGAATCGAATTGTCTAAATTGTCTAACTTTATTATGTAAATTTTGACTCGAAATATAGTAGTCGGTTGCGACTTCGGATTATCGTATCGTATCGTAGTTTTTGGCAGGGGGTGAATGCTTCCATTTCATAATAAAGTCTCACCTGTTAAATGATGGAATATTTGTGTTTTTTTAGCGAGGGATTAATATAAATGAAACATCATCTGAACAAAGAGAAAATAATAACAAAACAGTGACTCACCCAGACAACTCCGAACAAGAGAACAACCAATAGTAACAGTTTCCTCTATACTTGCTTCATCTTGTAATGTCGGATTAACCTCCTGTTGAAGTAAAAAAAAAAAAGTTCATAACAAAATCCACACTAGAACGTAAAGCATTCGAGGAGATATAGGAAATCCCAGCGACATTACCATTATATCAACAGCAACCAGACATCCCGTTTCACAAATTGCTTCACAGATGTAATGTCCCTCTCGGAATGTAAGGCCTCCACGTACAGGCGTACCTAAAAAGTTAATATGGGATGAACCAAACAAACCAATCATGTTAAACTACTGGTAACACACACAAACTTAAATTACACCAATCATTTCCCCTCAACCCTAATATATGTTATCCAATTAATATTAACGAACGCTTACCGGTACTAGGCGCAACAGAAGGATCCAAACCATCAACATCGAAACTCAAATGAATCGGTGTATTTCTATCCGGACATACATGATCTAAAGCCATTTCCATGACTTTACCAATCCCGTACTTGTCTACTTCATGCATTGAAAATGCTTTGATCCCATATTGCTTTAGAATCTTCTTTTCCGGCGGATCAACGTCTCTGAGTCCAATGTACACTAATTGCTCGGGCCTGAGGCATCCCTTGAGCCATGCGAATCCTTCAACTTTGCCTGCAATGCCAAGAAGAAAAGATACAGGGCAGCCGTGGATGTTGCCTGATGTGGTTGTTTCGGGTGTATTGATATCCTAGAGAATTGAGAGATCGGTACGGCTGGTGAATGTATGTCGAAAAATTACGGCAACACTTGAATCTAAAAAACAAGACTCTTTTTCTCTTCCTTACAAAAGCAGTCATGCTATCACGATTCAAACTTGTCTGATTATCAAAAATTGATTAGTCACCAACATACCGCGTGTGCATCAACCCAAATCAAAGCCGCGTCTGGATGTACTGCAAAAGTTCCCGAAACTGTTCCCATGGCTAAACTATGGTCCCCGCCAAGTGTCAATGCCAACTGTCCCTTCCTCACGTGTGATTCAACTGTTTTGGAAACCTCCCGACATACTTTCGAAACAAAGCGCGGTTGCTTAAGTTTGCCAATATCAGGATCATATGTGGGACGTAATTTTTCTAAATTGCGGTGACCGTCAAACTCGACTTCCCATCCCAGGTCAATAAGCTGTTCTAACAAGCCATATTCAATTATTCTTAGTGGGCCCAAGTCTACCCCCCTTCTAGGCTGTTGATTGTTGAACAGAGGTGAAGGATGATATTTTAATGCCAATTTGAAAAATTAAAGAGTGATTTGGTCGATGTTACAATTGGTTTTATATTCGGTGCATGTTTGTCACATTATGTGAAACGCGTCATTTCACTCCTCCAACAACCAAACATACTGACCTGGCCACCGCTAAACGGACATCCGATAACTCCAACAGTCTTCTTTCCTTTCAAGTATTTGTAGTCGCTCATAATAGTATCTACTCTATTGATATGTTTTATGAATGTGTTATTATTGATTTTGATGTATTATGTGTGGGAATGCTATTTTTTTTTTTGCACGTTGCGGTTCACAGTGGTTGGGGTTTATATGGTTTTAATGGAATGTGATGAGCCAAATTTAGTCTTACGACAAGTAATTCTAATGGACTAATTAGGGGGGGGGGGCATGCAGAGTCATGCACATTATCGGATGGGCCGAATACGTATAAATGGAAGTGACAATAAAAAGGTTAGCGAGCTAGTTCGGCAGTATATTAATAAATATCACTAGTGTGCCAGCCACCATTATCGCTAAATTACAACATAGAACAAAGAAAACCCACCCAAGCCATATTTTACATCTATTTGTTATTTGTCAGTTATCTCAACCTGGCATGTTGTGTACCGTAGGCTATAAGGAGTCGTTGCATTTTGTCATGGGACCCGGTATAAAATTTTTGTGAGAAACCGCAATGTGCCACATTTGTGGGAAAACCAAGCCCTACTTCTAAGCCTTATTCTGCTTTGTCATATTGCGTGTAAGCAAATGGGTGCCGACATTTTCGGTAACCACAGAAATGCACATATAAATCCGGTTGCATCGAAATGAAAAATACTAATTAAAGAGAATTAGCGTCTCGGCCGTTATGAAGCATCAATAGAATAGAATTGTAAGGCATCATTATCATAATTACGACATTGTCTCACACGCAACAAAGGTCTTAACCTTTGTTAATCAATCAAGTCACATGTTTTTAATTGTCCGTTACACATTATTACAACCGTATAATAATCGTATTGTTTACATTAAAATTAAAAAAACACACAATAAATCATTATTCTTGCCCTCTCATTATACTTCCGCTTTCCTCTTCTTGCCTTTTGCGTCGTTCCCTGATCGCTGCTTATTCTTTATATATTTCTGCCAATCAAACTTATTGGGCAACCATTCTCCATTGTAGATACATAAAATCTTCATTCTCTCGTTGTACTCCAGGTCAGGGAGTAATTTAGGAGTAATCAAAAAGTACCTAATATACAAATTATAAATAGATTAGCAAGTCAGTGCGAACAACAGATAAACGAACATATAAGCGATTCGAAATGATCGTCATACGCACTGTGATGTGTTTGGTCTGCACGCAGCTTGCACCATCTGACTATGAACCATACGTTCATTACGGGGGTCCATTCCTTGATTTATTTCATCGACTACTCGGAATGGAGCCTTGGCGAGCTCTTGTAGAGACATCAAGTACATAATTGTTGATACCGAACGTTCCTGGAACCCCAATAGCACAATAATAGACTGATTGTGAGCTTGGTCCCCGATAAATGGGGTGAAACACAATAGAATTACGAAACATGTTACTCACGCCTCCAGATTGTCTTTGTCCAGTCAAAACTTGGAGTTTCTCGTGATCCCTGCATTTATTTAACGAAATTAGCATAATATCCAAAGAACAATGGCATATTTTCAATGGTAACACAACAATCACCTGAATTTTACTAATATGTCAATTCCCCATTTATCATAATCTTCATGTGTACTCACGCGCACCTCACCTGCGCATCCAATCTCTGCAAGTTTGAAACATGCAAATTTAGATCGACGGTAAAAATAACAAATATCAACTCGGTTGGCCAGTCTCGAACAGAATTCCCAGAAGGCGCACACACCGTCAACTTACTATCGAATGCAGCAGAGAACTTTGCACTTATATTCTTCACAATCTCGTTTAGCTTTGATTCCCATTTATCCTATAAAAAAAAGAACAGATCATGAGTCGAACAAACTAACAATAGAATTCGACCAATATTTTGCAATGAAAGAAAAAAAAACATACACGTATCGTGGTCATTTCAGTTGATAGTTCCGCCAAGCGCGATTCTTTGCCAGACAATTTCTCTTTCAACGCATCAATCTGCATTTCGAAAGACAAAATCAGTAATCAGAATGTTGATAGAATCCTCCCCCTTTCTTTCCCGTATTATTCCTTCCTCTAACCTCGGCTTTCCGTTGATTATATTGCTGAACGATATGTGGAGAAATCGAGAAGTACAATTCCGCCTTTGCGCGCTCGCTAACTAATGCATCCTCAAGCTCTTCAAGCGTCATATCCCGTCCTACGTCTTGGAACTCTTGTCGAGTTTGCTCGTCTAGGTTATCGGTGCCCGCTTTGGCTTCATCTAAAAGTTGTCTTGCGCGATCCTTGGCAGCGTTGAACTTGCGTTCAGCTTCCGTGGGGAGGATAAGATGATTAAAACAATAAAAAAAAGTAGAGTTAAGATTCGAGCCACGCAAAGACAAAAAGAGTTTTATAAAACAATAAAATCCGATCACTAGATTAATTAGTCACAATAACCATAATCTCAATTTTATCCTCTGTGTTTGCATTCCACTTACCATCATTAAATTTAGTTCGTGCTTCTCTCAAGGCATCATCTCTCTCTGCTACACGTCTGGCAAGCGCCACCAATTCTGCCTGTGCCTGCATATGCTTAAACGCTGCTCCCGTCTTCTCCCTAAATAAACGTAAAATTTCCCGCAATGCCACTTGATAATCTTTTACTAATCTGCAACGCCGTCGTCCAAAATCCTGGATGATTGTCCGGAATTGAGATTCGGCTTGTGTTAAGTAATTCGGGCGACCCAACTCGTCGTCTAAACTTTGCTGACGTGCTTCTAGAAAATCCGGAAAATAAAAAGTGAGTAATGCATTCTCTGTTAAATAGACAATATGTTGACACGTCTACTCACGAAGTTTGACTTTTGCTCGTTCATAGTCTGTTCGCTCTTTCATTAATTGCCTTTTTTCTTCGGTTAGTTGATGCTACATATAACCGAGTAAATAAAAACAAATTGAATTAGAAATCTCAAATTCAGATGTTTCAAAATAGAATTGATGTATAACCTTCTTTTCTCGTAGCTCCTCATCTTCTGCACGAAATGTATCTTCCTCGCGTTTTAATCTCTGCATGGCCGCTTCGATCTTTTCACGACGTTCTCTGAGCGAATTCAATTGAGCATCGAGCTCATGCATTCTTTGCATATTCCCTACAGATCAAATAAATTAATTAGTCATGTATCTAATAAATTCTCACGACACTGAAGTTTCCGCCATTTGGTTTAACTCACTCGAATCGGTCAAAAATCGTCCGGGTCTCATTCGGAAAGTATTCGACTGCGGTAATTTTTTACCGTATTGCGAAAACCCAACGCGATACTGCATATCGCCACAAATATATGTGAACGCCCTGAAGGATCTCACGGATTGTACAAAAGATTCATGGTCTATCTCTTTCGCGGCGTAAGGCTTACAAGAAGACAAAAAAAATATGTTGTATGTGAGCAGAGCTTGTAACAATATTGTATGGTCTTATCGAAAATGCAAAAACATTCAGCAGCACATACCACTGCATGAAAATTCGCCTCGGAACAAAGTACCGTAAGAACAGGATTTGGTCCCTCAACCTGTTGCAAAAGGTAACACTCCATCCCGTACCTTTGTTTCATCTATTCAGATAAAAATTTGTTAATATAGTCTCGTAAACGCACATTATTCGAGATAAAAGCAAAGCAAACACTAACTTCTCGGAGTGGAACTGGCGGCTTAAAATTCTCCAAAACTTTATCAACGCAACAAATAGCGTTCACGCGTAAGCGTTGAGAATCTATCACTTCTCCTGTAAACAGTTTATAGTCCTCTGCTGTTTGGCAGACAAAAGTCTAACACGACATGAAAAAACACGTCAATGGTCAATAAGATTTCTACTAATTATTTTCAAGAGCGTGTATAATTCGGACAAACCTTTAATATAGCCTGTCCGGCAACAGCTTCAACTGCATCGATAAACTTTTTTTCTTTTACGTTAATCTCGAGATATATCGGTTCGTAAACGGGTTTTGCGAACCGATTCTGATTGCGCCTGAGCCAATGTACGGCATTGTACATGTCAGAATCGCTCTCGCGCAGGGACTCCAGGCGACGTTCTTTAACATTGGCGAGAGCTTGCCGTCTTGATATATGAATAGTATCGAAATACTAATTAACTCTTATCTTTGTATAATTTAATCCAAAAAACTCACTCTCTCCCAACCTATACTTACTGTTCCGAACAACTACGGTATTGTCTCATAACAGTTTTCTGCTCATCACTTTCATCTTCTTGTTGTGCTTGTATCGCCGCCATGTCTTCGCTTATTTGTCTTAACCTATTATTTACTGCATCCTACAAATTTCATAATTCAGTTACTAACCGACATCTTATACTTGCGCAAATCCAATAACATAACATACAAGTTGACGCTGTATCTCCTCGGTATTACATTCTGGAGGTGGTCCAGCAACTACTGCCTCAAGCTGTTGTATCTCATTACGTAATCCGGCAATTCTATTTTGTCTTTGCTTCTCTTTGTGTTTTGCTTCACTGACCGCCCGTCGTGCGTCGTCTCCGTCCCCCTCCTGTATGAAACAACATTTAGTCAAATTTGACAATAGTTATATCTGAGTATCAGCGCGTTCGAACAGACCAGTTGTTCAAGACGCTGAACGATTCTATCAATTTCTGTCGTTTTCACTCTCAAAGCATCTTGATTATCCCTTCTCGATTGCAGTGCCGATTGAGCGTTTCGTTCGATAGAACTAATTGATTATGTAAATATTTTACGATTAGATATAATGCATCTAGTGCCTTATGTTTAGTCATCAGAACATTGCAGTATCTTGACATTATAATTACTCACGTTTTCGCCCGAGTGGCGGGACCATGTTCTTCCTCAATACGTTTATAGTTCAAATGTGCAGCCTCTCGCTCCCGTTTGGCTCTGTCGTATTCATCCTTTGCTGCAGCATATCTGGCAAACGGGATACGCAATTCTAGCAACCTCACCTAAAGTAATCACATGTCACTATTGGAGATCCATCAAATGCAAATGCAAATGCAATGTTACAAAGGTCAATACCCGTCGCATTATAGACTCGCGCTCTCGAAATCTCGTTACGTCTCTTTCTAATAATTGGTTCCGTTTCTCTAAATTTTCCACCTGCTCGCTATCCCCTTTGGCACTCTAATCAATTGAGCGTTTCGATGGTGAGCACGCTGTGGGAATAATTACACATTATCACAATTATTCACATACCAGCGCTAGATCCTTCTCTTCGTTACGTAACTTCTTTAAACTTTCATGCCATTGACCTAATTGTGCATCCCCTACTGCACGTTGCGTCTCCACCAGTAGTTCTGGCGGATTCATCTATAAATTGCATTAACAATTAGAAAACGCATCGGAGGACGGTCACAAAAGTATTGCGTGACATACCTGTGCAAATTCGCTGACTTTGTCTTGTGGTAAAAATTGACTGAAAACGATATTTATACGTGATTAGTAATACTTTGTACGATTGAAAACAGTTTTAGACTCGCGATGCTTACCAAAGATTATTAACTTGTATGTTAAGTGCCCCCACACGCGCCAAAACTTCTTTCTGGGTAGCTGGCTCGCCTATATTAATACAAACGTGTCAGCAGAGCTCTATCAGCAAACAAGAACAGATAACAATAATTCATCCTAGTGTTCGACTTTCCCTACCATTAATCCTCCACGTTGAAGAGGCGGATAGCTAGCTTGAAAGAGAAGGAAAACAAAAAGTTGAGGGAGTGGTTGGGAGAGAATGAGTTTGTCTTGTTTTTTGTAATAAGGTTTGTTAATACTATAGTTTTATAATCAACTTGAATGTTATTAGTGAATTTATTGCATAAAGGAAAACATGTAAAAAAGAAAGTTATTATGATAGAAACAATGTAATCATTGATATTATATATTAATTGCGCAAATAACAGAACGAGAGTTTTTAAATTAATATTATAAAAGCTTATTGTTTAATTAAGTTTAAAACTAAGCAAGTGATGTTTACCCGACTAGTCAATAAACCAAATCAAAGTTTGCCCTGTTTAAAATTAGAATAATTGATTCTGTTGTCTAATAATTGTTGTTATTATTACCATAGGTACCTTTATTTGGATACGAGTACGGGAGGTACATCGTATAAGGAGTAAGGAAGCGCGCACGATAATTAAAATTAGGTCACTGGAATTTTAGATTCAGTCGCAGAAGCAATCGCTGAAATAAGGACGATAAACTGAAGCTAAATTAGAATATCCCTCTGTCGGCGAACACATCTACGCGAAAGATTATCGCTCTTCCACAACCCAGACTGCCGACCGTAACAGCGTTGGTGCATCCAAGTGCAAAGACATCGACCGTTTACGTCGCCTTCCAGAATTCTTATCTGCATTCTAGTCATGAAGCGGTATCGCGTCTGTCAAGTAAGGCCTTGAATAATTTCCAATATCTGAGAGTTTTGGTTAGAAAAATAATGCAGGAAGCACGCATCATTCGGATGCACTGAATTAACAAAGCTTGAGCTCAAAATATCTACGCTTTTTATTCATTGATAGTTTCGTGAACTTTAGATTACTGGTCTCAACATTTATTTTGTAATATTACCTCTACAATATCAACTCGGAAAAGGCAAACCTGCCGCTGAATCCGGTAGGTGAGAGTTTACTGGAATATTTACTCTCTTTCTCGAGACGGGATAAGGGTGTACTAAACTAACGCGTTTAATATTTACCTGTAACATCATTTCTCTTGTATAACTTTTTCGTTGTTAACAGTCCCACTTCCTACTATCAAATCTAACATTATAAATTGACGGGAGCCTTATCTCATAGAAAAGGAAACAGAAGATTAAGATACGCGTAGATTGGATTATGCCAACTGGGAAAACTTGTAGCAATGTGGTCAGGGAACGAATTTGTGATTGAAGAACAAGTCAGCACTTGGTCAGGTCAGCGTGATAACTGTGCGATTACAAATATTATTATATTCATATAACAAGAAAGAAATAGTCTGTCTTGGTAATAACTTGAGTTGCAGGGAGATATTCATAATGATGGGTTTTCCAAGTCTCCGTGAGTCGCAATGCGGTAAACAGGGTTCTGACGTTGGGGTTGTGTCAAGGACCCTCTCAAAGAAACGAAAGATATTCCACAATGATGATGTGAAGTTGGTCGATGAGAAAGCTGAATTGGTATTTAGATGAAGCAGTTATCGAAATTACAATGTAGTGCCTTTAGATGAATTGTATTCCATGGACCAGTTTATGGACGATTATTTCTCTACTCAACACACGATACTATAGATTAACAACACAAGGTTTTGAGGATGCTTGTTGGAAAGATTGGGCTTTTTAAAATACTATTATTTTAGTAGATATCTTTATCAAGTTTACAGTAAAGGAGGAAATGGCTCGATGTTTTGTTAGAAAATGTAAGGATAATGAAACATGCTACATATAAAGACCGCCAAAGACGTACAATATGAACGGAATTGATCCGGGTTAGGGGGGGGGAAAGTTAATGTTTGCAGTACGTAAACAACACGTAAACGAACAGATTAGTGTCGCAAAAGAGAGGTCCTTAAGTTGGTTCGAATTGTATAAGAATGTGAATGCTGAGATGAGGTAATTTGTATCAAGAGAATCTATATATGAATGAATAGAAGAATATCAGAACGTAAAAATTGTTCGCTAGCCTTGGGGAGAGATAAAGCGGTTTGATTAGTAAATTAGGAGGCAGACATGCGTTGATGAATTAAAAGTGTATTGAATTCGAAAAAAAAGTTACTCATATTAATATTAAAAGGTTATAAGTAAAAGTTCCGCAATTGCAAGTTAATCTCAGGTTAATAACAATTTCTTGTCTATGATACAAAAAGCTCGCTCCTTATTAATATATCGTTAAAAAAAAATACTTTGTGACGAATCGAATTGTCTAAATTGTCTAACTTTATTATGTAAATTTTGACTCGAAATATAGTAGTCGGTTGCGACTTCGGATTATCGTATCGTATCGTAGTTTTTGGCAGGGGGTGAATGCTTCCATTTCATAATAAAGTCTCACCTGTTAAATGATGGAATATTTGTGTTTTTTTAGCGAGGGATTAATATAAATGAAACATCATCTGAACAAAGAGAAAATAATAACAAAACAGTGACTCACCCAGACAACTCCGAACAAGAGAACAACCAATAGTAACAGTTTCCTCTATACTTGCTTCATCTTGTAATGTCGGATTAACCTCCTGTTGAAGTAAAAAAAAAAAAGTTCATAACAAAATCCACACTAGAACGTAAAGCATTCGAGGAGATATAGGAAATCCCAGCGACATTACCATTATATCAACAGCAACCAGACATCCCGTTTCACAAATTGCTTCACAGATGTAATGTCCCTCTCGGAATGTAAGGCCTCCACGTACAGGCGTACCTAAAAAGTTAATATGGGATGAACCAAACAAACCAATCATGTTAAACTACTGGTAACACACACAAACTTAAATTACACCAATCATTTCCCCTCAACCCTAATATATGTTATCCAATTAATATTAACGAACGCTTACCGGTACTAGGCGCAACAGAAGGATCCAAACCATCAACATCGAAACTCAAATGAATCGGTGTATTTCTATCCGGACATACATGATCTAAAGCCATTTCCATGACTTTACCAATCCCGTACTTGTCTACTTCATGCATTGAAAATGCTTTGATCCCATATTGCTTTAGAATCTTCTTTTCCGGCGGATCAACGTCTCTGAGTCCAATGTACACTAATTGCTCGGGCCTGAGGCATCCCTTGAGCCATGCGAATCCTTCAACTTTGCCTGCAATGCCAAGAAGAAAAGATACAGGGCAGCCGTGGATGTTGCCTGATGTGGTTGTTTCGGGTGTATTGATATCCTAGAGAATTGAGAGATCGGTACGGCTGGTGAATGTATGTCGAAAAATTACGGCAACACTTGAATCTAAAAAACAAGACTCTTTTTCTCTTCCTTACAAAAGCAGTCATGCTATCACGATTCAAACTTGTCTGATTATCAAAAATTGATTAGTCACCAACATACCGCGTGTGCATCAACCCAAATCAAAGCCGCGTCTGGATGTACTGCAAAAGTTCCCGAAACTGTTCCCATGGCTAAACTATGGTCCCCGCCAAGTGTCAATGCCAACTGTCCCTTCCTCACGTGTGATTCAACTGTTTTGGAAACCTCCCGACATACTTTCGAAACAAAGCGCGGTTGCTTAAGTTTGCCAATATCAGGATCATATGTGGGACGTAATTTTTCTAAATTGCGGTGACCGTCAAACTCGACTTCCCATCCCAGGTCAATAAGCTGTTCTAACAAGCCATATTCAATTATTCTTAGTGGGCCCAAGTCTACCCCCCTTCTAGGCTGTTGATTGTTGAACAGAGGTGAAGGATGATATTTTAATGCCAATTTGAAAAATTAAAGAGTGATTTGGTCGATGTTACAATTGGTTTTATATTCGGTGCATGTTTGTCACATTATGTGAAACGCGTCATTTCACTCCTCCAACAACCAAACATACTGACCTGGCCACCGCTAAACGGACATCCGATAACTCCAACAGTCTTCTTTCCTTTCAAGTATTTGTAGTCGCTCATAATAGTATCTACTCTATTGATATGTTTTATGAATGTGTTATTATTGATTTTGATGTATTATGTGTGGGAATGCTATTTTTTTTTTTGCACGTTGCGGTTCACAGTGGTTGGGGTTTATATGGTTTTAATGGAATGTGATGAGCCAAATTTAGTCTTACGACAAGTAATTCTAATGGACTAATTAGGGGGGGGGGGCATGCAGAGTCATGCACATTATCGGATGGGCCGAATACGTATAAATGGAAGTGACAATAAAAAGGTTAGCGAGCTAGTTCGGCAGTATATTAATAAATATCACTAGTGTGCCAGCCACCATTATCGCTAAATTACAACATAGAACAAAGAAAACCCACCCAAGCCATATTTTACATCTATTTGTTATTTGTCAGTTATCTCAACCTGGCATGTTGTGTACCGTAGGCTATAAGGAGTCGTTGCATTTTGTCATGGGACCCGGTATAAAATTTTTGTGAGAAACCGCAATGTGCCACATTTGTGGGAAAACCAAGCCCTACTTCTAAGCCTTATTCTGCTTTGTCATATTGCGTGTAAGCAAATGGGTGCCGACATTTTCGGTAACCACAGAAATGCACATATAAATCCGGTTGCATCGAAATGAAAAATACTAATTAAAGAGAATTAGCGTCTCGGCCGTTATGAAGCATCAATAGAATAGAATTGTAAGGCATCATTATCATAATTACGACATTGTCTCACACGCAACAAAGGTCTTAACCTTTGTTAATCAATCAAGTCACATGTTTTTAATTGTCCGTTACACATTATTACAACCGTATAATAATCGTATTGTTTACATTAAAATTAAAAAAACACACAATAAATCATTATTCTTGCCCTCTCATTATACTTCCGCTTTCCTCTTCTTGCCTTTTGCGTCGTTCCCTGATCGCTGCTTATTCTTTATATATTTCTGCCAATCAAACTTATTGGGCAACCATTCTCCATTGTAGATACATAAAATCTTCATTCTCTCGTTGTACTCCAGGTCAGGGAGTAATTTAGGAGTAATCAAAAAGTACCTAATATACAAATTATAAATAGATTAGCAAGTCAGTGCGAACAACAGATAAACGAACATATAAGCGATTCGAAATGATCGTCATACGCACTGTGATGTGTTTGGTCTGCACGCAGCTTGCACCATCTGACTATGAACCATACGTTCATTACGGGGGTCCATTCCTTGATTTATTTCATCGACTACTCGGAATGGAGCCTTGGCGAGCTCTTGTAGAGACATCAAGTACATAATTGTTGATACCGAACGTTCCTGGAACCCCAATAGCACAATAATAGACTGATTGTGAGCTTGGTCCCCGATAAATGGGGTGAAACACAATAGAATTACGAAACATGTTACTCACGCCTCCAGATTGTCTTTGTCCAGTCAAAACTTGGAGTTTCTCGTGATCCCTGCATTTATTTAACGAAATTAGCATAATATCCAAAGAACAATGGCATATTTTCAATGGTAACACAACAATCACCTGAATTTTACTAATATGTCAATTCCCCATTTATCATAATCTTCATGTGTACTCACGCGCACCTCACCTGCGCATCCAATCTCTGCAAGTTTGAAACATGCAAATTTAGATCGACGGTAAAAATAACAAATATCAACTCGGTTGGCCAGTCTCGAACAGAATTCCCAGAAGGCGCACACACCGTCAACTTACTATCGAATGCAGCAGAGAACTTTGCACTTATATTCTTCACAATCTCGTTTAGCTTTGATTCCCATTTATCCTATAAAAAAAAGAACAGATCATGAGTCGAACAAACTAACAATAGAATTCGACCAATATTTTGCAATGAAAGAAAAAAAAACATACACGTATCGTGGTCATTTCAGTTGATAGTTCCGCCAAGCGCGATTCTTTGCCAGACAATTTCTCTTTCAACGCATCAATCTGCATTTCGAAAGACAAAATCAGTAATCAGAATGTTGATAGAATCCTCCCCCTTTCTTTCCCGTATTATTCCTTCCTCTAACCTCGGCTTTCCGTTGATTATATTGCTGAACGATATGTGGAGAAATCGAGAAGTACAATTCCGCCTTTGCGCGCTCGCTAACTAATGCATCCTCAAGCTCTTCAAGCGTCATATCCCGTCCTACGTCTTGGAACTCTTGTCGAGTTTGCTCGTCTAGGTTATCGGTGCCCGCTTTGGCTTCATCTAAAAGTTGTCTTGCGCGATCCTTGGCAGCGTTGAACTTGCGTTCAGCTTCCGTGGGGAGGATAAGATGATTAAAACAATAAAAAAAAGTAGAGTTAAGATTCGAGCCACGCAAAGACAAAAAGAGTTTTATAAAACAATAAAATCCGATCACTAGATTAATTAGTCACAATAACCATAATCTCAATTTTATCCTCTGTGTTTGCATTCCACTTACCATCATTAAATTTAGTTCGTGCTTCTCTCAAGGCATCATCTCTCTCTGCTACACGTCTGGCAAGCGCCACCAATTCTGCCTGTGCCTGCATATGCTTAAACGCTGCTCCCGTCTTCTCCCTAAATAAACGTAAAATTTCCCGCAATGCCACTTGATAATCTTTTACTAATCTGCAACGCCGTCGTCCAAAATCCTGGATGATTGTCCGGAATTGAGATTCGGCTTGTGTTAAGTAATTCGGGCGACCCAACTCGTCGTCTAAACTTTGCTGACGTGCTTCTAGAAAATCCGGAAAATAAAAAGTGAGTAATGCATTCTCTGTTAAATAGACAATATGTTGACACGTCTACTCACGAAGTTTGACTTTTGCTCGTTCATAGTCTGTTCGCTCTTTCATTAATTGCCTTTTTTCTTCGGTTAGTTGATGCTACATATAACCGAGTAAATAAAAACAAATTGAATTAGAAATCTCAAATTCAGATGTTTCAAAATAGAATTGATGTATAACCTTCTTTTCTCGTAGCTCCTCATCTTCTGCACGAAATGTATCTTCCTCGCGTTTTAATCTCTGCATGGCCGCTTCGATCTTTTCACGACGTTCTCTGAGCGAATTCAATTGAGCATCGAGCTCATGCATTCTTTGCATATTCCCTACAGATCAAATAAATTAATTAGTCATGTATCTAATAAATTCTCACGACACTGAAGTTTCCGCCATTTGGTTTAACTCACTCGAATCGGTCAAAAATCGTCCGGGTCTCATTCGGAAAGTATTCGACTGCGGTAATTTTTTACCGTATTGCGAAAACCCAACGCGATACTGCATATCGCCACAAATATATGTGAACGCCCTGAAGGATCTCACGGATTGTACAAAAGATTCATGGTCTATCTCTTTCGCGGCGTAAGGCTTACAAGAAGACAAAAAAAATATGTTGTATGTGAGCAGAGCTTGTAACAATATTGTATGGTCTTATCGAAAATGCAAAAACATTCAGCAGCACATACCACTGCATGAAAATTCGCCTCGGAACAAAGTACCGTAAGAACAGGATTTGGTCCCTCAACCTGTTGCAAAAGGTAACACTCCATCCCGTACCTTTGTTTCATCTATTCAGATAAAAATTTGTTAATATAGTCTCGTAAACGCACATTATTCGAGATAAAAGCAAAGCAAACACTAACTTCTCGGAGTGGAACTGGCGGCTTAAAATTCTCCAAAACTTTATCAACGCAACAAATAGCGTTCACGCGTAAGCGTTGAGAATCTATCACTTCTCCTGTAAACAGTTTATAGTCCTCTGCTGTTTGGCAGACAAAAGTCTAACACGACATGAAAAAACACGTCAATGGTCAATAAGATTTCTACTAATTATTTTCAAGAGCGTGTATAATTCGGACAAACCTTTAATATAGCCTGTCCGGCAACAGCTTCAACTGCATCGATAAACTTTTTTTCTTTTACGTTAATCTCGAGATATATCGGTTCGTAAACGGGTTTTGCGAACCGATTCTGATTGCGCCTGAGCCAATGTACGGCATTGTACATGTCAGAATCGCTCTCGCGCAGGGACTCCAGGCGACGTTCTTTAACATTGGCGAGAGCTTGCCGTCTTGATATATGAATAGTATCGAAATACTAATTAACTCTTATCTTTGTATAATTTAATCCAAAAAACTCACTCTCTCCCAACCTATACTTACTGTTCCGAACAACTACGGTATTGTCTCATAACAGTTTTCTGCTCATCACTTTCATCTTCTTGTTGTGCTTGTATCGCCGCCATGTCTTCGCTTATTTGTCTTAACCTATTATTTACTGCATCCTACAAATTTCATAATTCAGTTACTAACCGACATCTTATACTTGCGCAAATCCAATAACATAACATACAAGTTGACGCTGTATCTCCTCGGTATTACATTCTGGAGGTGGTCCAGCAACTACTGCCTCAAGCTGTTGTATCTCATTACGTAATCCGGCAATTCTATTTTGTCTTTGCTTCTCTTTGTGTTTTGCTTCACTGACCGCCCGTCGTGCGTCGTCTCCGTCCCCCTCCTGTATGAAACAACATTTAGTCAAATTTGACAATAGTTATATCTGAGTATCAGCGCGTTCGAACAGACCAGTTGTTCAAGACGCTGAACGATTCTATCAATTTCTGTCGTTTTCACTCTCAAAGCATCTTGATTATCCCTTCTCGATTGCAGTGCCGATTGAGCGTTTCGTTCGATAGAACTAATTGATTATGTAAATATTTTACGATTAGATATAATGCATCTAGTGCCTTATGTTTAGTCATCAGAACATTGCAGTATCTTGACATTATAATTACTCACGTTTTCGCCCGAGTGGCGGGACCATGTTCTTCCTCAATACGTTTATAGTTCAAATGTGCAGCCTCTCGCTCCCGTTTGGCTCTGTCGTATTCATCCTTTGCTGCAGCATATCTGGCAAACGGGATACGCAATTCTAGCAACCTCACCTAAAGTAATCACATGTCACTATTGGAGATCCATCAAATGCAAATGCAAATGCAATGTTACAAAGGTCAATACCCGTCGCATTATAGACTCGCGCTCTCGAAATCTCGTTACGTCTCTTTCTAATAATTGGTTCCGTTTCTCTAAATTTTCCACCTGCTCGCTATCCCCTTTGGCACTCTAATCAATTGAGCGTTTCGATGGTGAGCACGCTGTGGGAATAATTACACATTATCACAATTATTCACATACCAGCGCTAGATCCTTCTCTTCGTTACGTAACTTCTTTAAACTTTCATGCCATTGACCTAATTGTGCATCCCCTACTGCACGTTGCGTCTCCACCAGTAGTTCTGGCGGATTCATCTATAAATTGCATTAACAATTAGAAAACGCATCGGAGGACGGTCACAAAAGTATTGCGTGACATACCTGTGCAAATTCGCTGACTTTGTCTTGTGGTAAAAATTGACTGAAAACGATATTTATACGTGATTAGTAATACTTTGTACGATTGAAAACAGTTTTAGACTCGCGATGCTTACCAAAGATTATTAACTTGTATGTTAAGTGCCCCCACACGCGCCAAAACTTCTTTCTGGGTAGCTGGCTCGCCTATATTAATACAAACGTGTCAGCAGAGCTCTATCAGCAAACAAGAACAGATAACAATAATTCATCCTAGTGTTCGACTTTCCCTACCATTAATCCTCCACGTTGAAGAATTATTCTCCTTCTTAATGTGTCTTTTAATAATCAGATTCGGTGAGGATTTTAATTCAATCTCTATTTCGGCTCTATCTTCGCCATGTTTTACGTAATCCGAAATCTCTCGTGCACGCCCAAGTATCTTTAGATACAGTTTGAACAATCAATATCCTGAATCGGTATCGTCTTGCATAAGAAAACACCTAAACTTACCGAAGGGTGTCCGCCAAGTCCAAGCGCAATAGCACACACAATAGTACTCTTGCCCGTACCGTTAGGTCCAATAATCATGTTTAGGTTCGGCCCGGGACAAAACTCCACCGAATCATACGTCACAAAGTGAGTGAGCGCTATACGAACTATTGATCCTTCGATATATCTTGGGACGAAGAAAACCATACTCATGTCAGTGGCGCAGTAATACGCAGTAAACTTTATAAGTAAGCAGAAAAGAGCTCTCTAGTAATTGCTAATAACGGTTAACAGTGTGCAGGGCAACGCCTAGAGCATATACTCTGCGTTCCCACTAGCGTGCTCAACAGTTTTTACATTGGCTGTTCTAACGAGTACTACTAGTACAGTAGAAGGTACTGTCTGTTTTCTCTTTCAAACTACCCCTACTCCCCTCCTAGACCGAAATAACTTACTCGTCGTCAATTGTGGCAACAGAGGAAGACGCTGAGCATGTCACAGTTGTTGAATCCATTTGAAATAGAATGAATAGAATGAGGAAAGCAGAGGGAGAAAGATTGAACAAAGGCCGCACGCGACGCGAGCTCCTTAAGTATTAAGGCCAAGATGCTTTGATCCCGTGATTGCCCAACCTGTGCAACGAGCGACCATTAATATTGCATTCAGAACAATATCTTAGACAGCGGATTCATTATACTTTGCCATGAAGTCGATAGCAGTGTTGTTTGTATAAAGTGGTCCGTAACATGACGTTTATTTAGTTGGGTACAGGCAGCCGCGGAATCAGTGACATTATCATAGAGGTGTGTGTTGAGCATAACGGAATATCAAGGTGATACACTCATTGTATCGTTAAGTATTTTTAATGGCGCGTCAAAGATATTCCCTACGAGATTCTATTATGACATTAGTGAAACATGTTTCTTGAGCAAATTTACGTCTCTGGACCACACAGTACAAGTATTACCGACAAACTAGCCCGGGTGTTGTAACCGACGATTTCAAAGGTTATCGTATTTTATACAGAGTTCCTTAAAAAGTCTTGCCCTCTTCGCAAATCAATATGCCCTGCATCACGGGATCAACAAACAATTTCCTCGTGACGCAAATAAAAACCGTTATTTTTTTTGATCAACAAACCGCCCACATCGCGTGATTCACTATTACGATGCATTCTCATGTCTTTGCAGATAACACTGTACATCAACTTACGCAAGACCCTTTTTTTCTCCATGTATCTTTACTACACTTTTGCCTATTTATCTTTCTCCACTTGTCACAAAATTAATATCACCGTTTGTTATTTCTTTACAAAAAATTTTCCTCGTTGAAAAATGTCTGTAGTTCCTTTTCGTAGAATATTACCGACTACTCGCTTAATCAGATCACCGCTACCACCTCGGTATCTATACTGTCCGGGATGTCGTTACCCATTTTCTTCATTGCTTGCAAAAAGTAAAAAAGATGGCAGGCTGCAAATCTTGTCAAAGGCACACAGTACAGACGCCGGCTCGGTGCAAGCAGAATCACTTTATCGACAAAGATCTGCCGCAACGTACGATGATATATCAGACGACGTAGCGCTGTCTACATGTATGTGAAGACTAACCCTGCTCCAACTCTTTTTTTTTTTTTTTACCTAATGATTTGAAACACCAACATGTTTTTCTTTGTTTGTTTTCAGTTGGCCCAATGTCTAGTTACAGGAATATAGTGGCATCTGGGATGGTGAGAGAAGATGAATTCCAGCGAGGTGTCGTTCAAATTCTTCAGAATTTACACGATCGTCTGCAGACATATGACCCGCCACTTATACCCATTGAAACGAATGCAGACGACAAGAACTCTATCTTATCCAAGGTATCTTGACATTGTTTTGCCCATGCATTCTAGTCAGCCTCGCCCTCGCGATACTCAAGTTACTTTTATTAATTTGTTTAGTTATCCAGATTATTCTCAATACAACCGAATCTGTTTCCGGAAAATAGGCCCAAGGGAATATATTTATATGGAGGGGTTGGAGCAGGAAAAACAATGTTAATGGATCTATTTTATAATACGCTTTCGACAAAAAGAAAGCGACGAGTCCACTTCCATCCCTTTATGCTGGACGTCCATGCACGCGTGCATAAATTAAAGCAAATGAATTCAGAGACTTACGACCCACTACCGTCAATTGCAAACGAGCTGGCAAACGAATCGATAGTTCTCTGCCTGGATGAATTTCAAGTCACAGATATTGCGGATGCAATGATTCTCCGACGTTTGCTCAAAAAGCTTTTCGATCGCGGTGTCGTCTTGGTCACAACCTCAAATCGCCCTCCAGACGACCTCTATAAAAATGGCATCCAACGAAAGTCCTTCCTTCCGTGTATAGATCTCATCAAAGAATGTTGTCACGTGCAAAATCTCGATTCGGGTACCGACTATCGGAAACTCACCAAAAATTTGATGAAGCTGTACTTTACGCCATTAGGAGAACAGTCGACAAGAGAGATTGAGGAACTTTTTTCGATGCTGACCGTGGGAAGACAAGTCGAACAGCATAAACTGGATTTTTGGGGACGGTCCTTGATCGTGCCTCAGGCAGTGGGAGTCGTAGCAAAGTTTTCTTTTGAAGAATTGTGTAAGATGCCTTTGAGTGCGGCGGATTATTTAGAGTTGGTGAGGCATTACAAGACAATATTTGTGACTGATATCCCGAGGATGACTTTGGCCATGAGGAATGAAGCAAGGAGATTCATCACGTTTATCGATGCAATCTATGACACCAGAGTATGTATTGTCGTTTAACAAATTTGGTTTCCACATATCATTAACAACAGTCTTTGGTTATAGACGACGCTCATATGCTCAGCTGAAGTGCCAATCACCGAGCTCTTTACGACTGAAGAAGACTCGAATCCTCTCGAGGACCATCATAGAGCCCTAATGGACGATCTGGATCTTCATGGTCATGAACACAAGGCCAACCCGATATTCACGGGTGAAGAGGAGATATTTGCTTTCGAAAGAGCAGTATCGAGGGTTATCGAGATGCAAGGAATAAACTGGGTCAGACCCACTTTACGAGGATTCGATCTATGAGACGCACACCGCTGCTAAACTGTTGGAAATACGATACCATCAGGAACGATGTCGTTGATTTAATAATGAACTATAATAATAATAGTAATAATAATCTACAGTAATAGAGGGGGAAACTGTTAACGTTAAAAGCGCGAAATATAATGTCGTATGTCAATAAACAATTACTTGCATGTCGGCGTTGAATGCACAACTCGTTAGTTTACCCCTTTTATCTTTTAGAATAAATAGTTATGCATTTTATTTACAGTACAGATAAATTTTGTCCCAATAAATACTCGACCAACACAAGTTATTTTACATTTTGAACCGAAAATTAACTTCTATAATAACCATGCTTGTCATGCCTAATTACCAGTGAATAATCTAAAGAGAAGATACAACATCGATCCAACGAATCTGAAAAAGGCTAGTGCTGCTACACTCCAAAGTATAAAGGCCATGTAAATATTGCTCCTCTGTTGTTCAGTCAAAAGTTTAGAAAGAGTCTCACTCGTACTTGTAATGATACCAACTAAAGCCCCGTTACTGACTATCCATGCCAATACTACACGAGTACGGAAATTTCTATAATAGTCCTCTTGTTTTGTGGCGGCATCTCTATGTTGGGGTTCTTCTGCGACTTGTGTCTTGATCGTATCGACGGCCTCTTGATAGAGGACGTTCAGATCCCTTTCTTCAGCGACCTCTATTTCAACCGTGCCTTTCCCTGGGGCTGCCTGTGCAGTACCCAAATCATGTGAAGGCATGGCGGTATCACCTTTTGTTCCCCAACTGGAAAAAAATATAGCAATCAAGATGAGTAAAGAGTAAATATGACCCCCAGAGTTCAGTCATTCTTGGCACATACCTGACATCGTGTGTGTTACAGAAAGCGTAAACGTTGAGAATGTTTACATAGAATGGCACCAATAACATGTATTGTGCCAAACAAGTAAACATGTGCCATGGTTCAAAGAACAGGAAACTGGCAACGAGCCACAAACCAAATGTAGACGCAAGTGAAAGGATGACGTTACGGAATGTTGGATTGCTCAATATTGCGTTTGCAGTTGAAACATTGGCACCGGCATTAGCAAGGTCGGCAAAGGTTTCATTTTTCGCGGCATCAACGGCCTTGATTGTGATCCAAACCGCAGCAAACAACATGTATGTCATGAGGAAGGCAAAGAAGACCATGGCGGTTATATAAGCCCATTTGAAACTAATAAAATAATTGGATTACAAATCAATGTAAAAATTCCATGTCAGATTCAACTCGTTAAAATGCAACTCGTTAAAATGCAACTCGTTAAAATGCAACTCGTTAAGATGCAACTGGCACCATTTACTTACCCTTGAGGTCTGTTTCCCATGGCCAGGATAAAGGATGCAATAAGAAGTGATATGTAAAGCCATCTTAGGATTGTGAATATCACGTCGCCAACCGATGGATCCCACAATCCTTTAGCCGTCACAGGATCCGTCAGAGAATTGCCCAATATGTAAAACGTCAAGTAGAAATTACCCTATCATTTATGATGAATGGACAGGCACATTTAGTCAAGTCGACCTGAAAAGTCGATTAAATGCCAGTCTGTCAAAACTTACCAAACCGAACCAAGAAAAGATCAGGTTGAATGCCTGATAGACCATTTCAACGCACAACAAGAATTTTCTAATGCTTGTATGATCACTCCTAAAAATGGCAAGCGTGCTTGCAATAGCATAAACGCCCGCAAAGAAACTTCCATTCAGCCACCTTCTTCTCTGGCTAATCAATTCCGGTACTTGATCGGGCACGTCAGTTTCAGCGTAAGAACTCTTTACGTAATGCAACAACCACGATGCTTCCCTCTTGGCCACCAATTCGAAACACAGAATTCTGTCTTCGGCCAAGTACATGTTGGCTGTGAAAATATCTGCATCTCCACCATGCTGCTTTTCACCCAGGAAATATTGCTTAAGCGGACCGTTCCCGTTCTTATCGTTCTGCAAGGCAATGTATCGATAAGCAGAGAAAGCACCGGGAAGCACAGTGATATAACCAAAGACTGATTCAAGCGGCTTATCAAGAATGTTGGACATTTTGTATTCAAAGTTTTGTGTTGCGACAAGAGGATTAAGCAGATTGACACCAGCCGTGCCTTTCATGGCAACAATTTCTCCACACGCGCCTGCTATGTGGGAATTAATATCGAACGCTTTCCACAGATGATAGATGCTTGTACTTCCTGGTTTGGTGCCCACGTCCAAGAGTACGCAAACGTTTGGATCCAACACGCCCCCAAAAGCGTTGAAAAACCATCTGTGACTGTTAATCTTTTTTGCGTTCTTTTCCTTCAAACAGAACAAAACTTGCACGGGTACTATCCCCTTATCAAAGCCCCGGATATTCATGTCGGGATCGATCGAGATCTGGGTAGTATATTCGTAGATATGGGCAGTGACTTCGCGCCCGTTTACGGCGTTCTTGGCAATCCCCTCCTGGTATACACCGATAGCAGCCAAATATGCAAGAGTGCGTTTATTGATCTTCTTACGGCCGTCGGACACGACGCAAACAACGACTTTCTTCCAACCATCTTTGCCCCACATACGTGACCTGTCTCGAGTACAAAGATGGGCAATATTTTTGACTACGCCATGGAATGTGCGAGCAAAGAGAATTTCGTCTTCCTGTTTTCATAGAAATGTAGTCAAGTGGAGTGAACAGAAACCCAGACATGTTTAGATCGATATACTGGCGAAGATATCTGCGCCAATCACGTGATAATAATCAAAATTTTAACTTACATTGTACATAGTCAGCACGATGAACAATTCCGTCCGTCTATCGTACAACGTTTGCCTGAGCTTGTAATTCTCCTTTTTAAAGTCGTTTGGATCACAAGTAGCACCCGTGTATCTCAGATGCGTGAATTCTTCTTCCTTTTGCCTGGGACACATTTTCAATAAATCAGATGGTACCGGTTGATCCAAAACCAAATTACCCGCAGTCAATTCAATTCTCCTCTTTGTAGTCTTGTATCGCCTCGGCTGTACACGCGGTGCTTCACCATAATGCCGCTGTGGTTGAGGGTCTTCAGCAAAGGCGACAGTTGGCTTTGGATCAGTTAGGAGAGGTTCTGATGCGGGATCCGTGTTCAAGAACGACGATTCCGTGCCATGAGTAGGTGGATAAACAGTTGGTTGAGGTGTCTGAGTGGCAGGGTAGGGAGTAGCATATTCAGCTGATGTATATTCCGTCGCGTATGGTTCAGCTGTTGGCATGCGAGGAGGGTAACCTCCTTGGCCTGAGCCTCCTTGGTCTGAACTTCCCTGGCCGCTAAAATATGACATTTGAAGAGTTGGTCTGTCGACTTAGAGAGGAGGTGGGAGGAGCGTTATGGATGCGTAAATGCGATAATACCAATCGAGCGTCAAATTTGGTCAATCGGCAAAGACGTATAATTAATAGCTAATTGCTATGCGCCGGCCTTGCAAAGTTAACGCGATAACAATCAAAGCGAGGAAGAAAAGGGATGATTTTTTTTTCTGCTCGTGAGACGGGTCTTGAACTTTTTGTCAACCTTAATATACAGAAAAAGCCTCCGATGGGAGGCTGAGTGTGACGGACACAAAGAAGGGGCTTGGTTTACGATTATCGTCTTTCGACTAAGCCACGAAGGGGGATATAGTAAAGGGGCCGTGATT